TTTGACTGCCATTTTTCTAAGAATGAGAATGAAAAGTATAGCCATTACGGGACTCACACAAGAAATAGAAAGTCAAATATGATGGTTTGATGTGATGGATAATTGTCTTATTTTTCATTCTTTTGGCCAAAGAATGAGACCAAATGGGGGCTTAAAATTCATGTGGTGGGAGTTTTTACTAGATTTCTTAGTTTTGATTTGGGGGCTTTCGGTTTGGGGAGGCGCTGAGCGTATTAACTATGGGGAGTAAATTTTTTAATTACGTTTAGGGGTATTATTCTAGTTTGTTAGTTTTGGAGGGTATTGGGTCTAATTACCCCAAATTGGTCCATCTGTATTGAACTCCTTCAGCACTCACATATAACAAAGGCTTATATGGACCGTGGGCTCATGGAGCCGATACACAACTTTAGTAGAGTTATTAGGCTGGTCAGCAAACTAAGTCTTTATTTGTTATTGCTGTTCCTTTAAAAGAATCAACTATAGTTGTGCTAAAAAATGTACAATTGAGTATAAATCTTAAAATAAAAAAAAAAATCAAATACTTTTAAATTAAAGTATTTTATGACGAGGATCCGTTAGTCCAATAGCATATGCATCCACCACCATTTAGCACGCTAATTTTCAAATGAAATTTGTAAATAAGGAGGGATGATTATGACGAATTATACACAATAAAATATACTTTAATCCACATTCAAATCAAACATGATATTATGCATAAACCTTTTTACCAAAATAAAATGAGAATTATTACACTATGAAAAATGATAAATCTAGAAAGCACTGTAAATTAACGTGAAAGCTAACTGATACTCGAAGGTATGCCTTAAATTGTATCATATTTCTCCTAAAGGAGTATTGAACTAAAGTAATAAAATTCATACATAACAACGTATCTAAAAAGATGTAGAAAAATCACTAATAATACTAAGCACCTCACCTTTTAAAAGTGAATGTAGAGAACAAAATTGTAGAAAACTAGATTATTTATTGCAAATATAGGAACTTAATCTATTATATTCTTTTTCTTTTCACAATCTGTATTTTTTGTTTATAATAAAGAGAGGGAGGGAGGGGGAGAGAGAGAGAGAGGGAGGGAGAGAGAGAGAGCTGAAGGAGAAAATTAAAGTGAGTTAGCAGTATTGTCTCAAGCATTTATATAGTAATTTGGATTGAAGTCTTTTAAAGGGCTTAGGACTGTGAGTTAACTCTATCAAATCAAAAGTTAGTTTTTAATTTGAATTAGTATTAGAATATGTTAGTGATAATGATAATAAATAAATATTAAAGTCTCCGACTAAAATTGAATAGCTAGTATTTTATGCATGTGAATTAAATATTAATTATAATCCAAGCAAATTGGGTATTCAATAGCAATTTCCTAGGAATAAAGCTCCTGCACAGATCCCTTTGCACAAGATCTGTACAGGGGCTCTCACATGGGGGTGGACCCCACATGTGAACCCCATGTGTGGTGTTCACCCCCATGTGTGTGCATCTGTACAAATCCCGTGCAAATGGGTCTGTACAAAAAGCACAACTCAATTTTCTATCCTTATCAAGTATTTCCATATCTGTACACATAATCACCAATAGAAAGTAGAGTCATAAATTGAATTACTAACTCAATTTGAATGGCATTAGTATTAAATTAATTACAAGATAAATAGTTTGTTATCATCTAATTGGCGAAACAACTAATCCTGTTTGAATTCAAAATGACGGGAAGTGATTAGTCTTGAGGAATATATTTTTTAAAATTTCTTTCAATATAATTTACTTTGATTGAGTATAACTTCGTTGGTTCTTATTCAAAATAATTTTTTCTCAATCTTATGATCTATCAAATGATTCCAATATTGTTGTAGTAATTTGATCTAACTTGAAAACTTTAACTAAGTAATTTTCTTATTTGTCTCTAATGGCTTATCCCTTTTTTCTTTTTTTTCCTTTTTTGAGTCCACAATACACAATATATTATGGGCTTCAAAATGAACCTAATATTGATGGGGGTAATTCCAACTCTTTCAATAGTTAATTATTTGACCCAATTAAATAAATATGAAATCTAATATTTATTTTGACTTTGATTCCTCAACTATTAACGAAAAATTATATAGATCCTAATTAACCATTAAGCATAACAAATTGATTTGCATAAATATTCGACTAGACACGGCATTTCTATCAATTGAAAAATAAACTGTATGCAATAAAACTCATAAAATCTCATGATCCTACAACCTACCTCCCTTAATATAATCTCGTCCTCGAAATTTACTTTTTATAAATAACCCTTTCATGCATTCACTATGTCACTCTAACATCTTTGTCCTATCATTTCTTGTCATGATCTCCAACCGCTCTTGTTGTAATATCGTTGATGGATACTTCCAAAAATCCTAGATTACAGTTTAAAGAGGTAACGTCTACCTTAAATACTATTCCCTCGATTTTTAACTTAACGTCTTTAACAATTCGATTGGTATTAATGACTTTGGCTAAAGAGGCACTAATATCCAAAGTGTTATTTGTTTCCTCATATTTGTTACCAATTTTATCCATAACATCAGTAGAAATAAATGATGTGTAGATCTATAATCTATAAGGACAATAGCAGGTATATTAGAAATTGGTAACATACCTATTGTTACATCAGATCTTTCTTTCTCCCACCTACGCAAACGCTTTGGCTTTTTCTTTCTTAGGTTGGTCCCCATCCTCATTCTTCTCTGGTCTTTCTTTAAGAAGCTCATAAGTCTTATCACAATTATAACATACTCATTTTCCTTGATAACACTCCTCCAAGTGTCGTTTGTTGCACATGTGACATCTAGGAAAATTTTGTTTAAGCCTGACCAAAACCCCTTTTTTTCTCTTTGTTTTGGTCCTTTTCATTTTCTTCATTGTAATCCATCCATTTCCACTTTATTGAAGACTCAGCACTTGATTGGATTTTCTTTTCCAATCATAAATTGTTCAGGATTGCTTGTGCTCGACGTACGACTTTTGCATAAGTAGTATGTTGTTAGGCTGCCATGACTCCCTTAATTTTTGATCTTGATCCTATTTCAAACATCTTAGCCTTCTTTATTTCAGTGTTAACCATATGTGGTGTATGACTAGAAAGTCGTTCAAAATTTCTTTCAATGTCCAAGTGGCATAGTCCTTTGTGTAAGTTGAGGACATTTTACCTCTCTTTGATCCTTCAATGACCGGAAAAAATTACTCATAATCTTTCCTTGAATTTGTTCCCTGTGAGATTACGTTGTTTTTCTATAGTCCTAGTATGTGTTTTAGACTCCCACCAATGGCCAGCAATGTTAGTCAACATGAACTTCATATAAGAAACCTTTTGAGCATCGTTGTAGTTCATGTGCTCAAAGATTCCTTCAAGTCTTTTCAGCCACTCTTTGGTTGCGAAAGGATTACCTTTATTATCAAAGGATGGAGGTTTAAAATGATGGAGTTTCTAAACAATCGAATTCAACAGGAAATTTTTATTCAACACATGAAGGAGGCTATTGAGGTGGAAGTAGGTATATCAGAGGAGCCAATACAGGGAATGAGTAGGATTGCTTACCCTCCAAACCAAGTGGACTTGAATGACAATCAACCCGACACTTCCTGTGAATTAATGCAAAAGGAAAATCTTCTGGTGAATGCCCAAATGGTGGAGACGTGGAGTGGGAGCAGAAAAATATGGCACAAATATCCCAACGTCAGAAAAAGAAAAAAGTCGTAATGTTGTTCGAGGTTCTTACACGCTCTAGAACCTCTTCTAAATGATGGACAAACTTTTGATGTGGAATGTAAGAGGGTTGGGAACATCAAGGACTCAACTCAACGATATTATGTCTAAATTTAATCCAAGTGTTGTAGCAATTTTGGAACCTGTGCAGTCAATTTTGAAGATTAGAAGATGGGTGTGCAGGTTACGTTTCCCTAATTATTTTTCTAACCATTTATTTAATGAGAAGATCTAGCGTTTTTGGGAGGATGACTTGTTATTTGAGGAAGTAGTGGTTTCACGTTAGCATATTTCTAGTATGTTTACTAAGGAGGGGGTCTCTTGTCTGGTCACTATGGTTTACACGAGCTACTTTCAAATTGGGCCTGTAGACTTATGGAGGGATTTGGTTTCACTGCAACGCCACGACATACCTTGGCTAGTTGGTGGCAATTTCAACATTTTTCGTAGTGATGCAGAAAAGGTTGCTGAGGCATCGAAACCAGATCTCCCAAAGCGGGAATTTAACGAATGTATATCAAATTGCAGCCTTCAAGAACTTCAGACAGAAGGTATCATTTTTACATGGTGTAATATGCAACAAGGGTGGAAGAAATTGGACAAAATCTTAGTTAATAATTCTTTCTTAACTCATTTTGGAGTGGCTTGTGCTAAGGTTTTATCTAGATCTAGTTTTGATCATTGTCCACTGTTAGTTCAATTTTTCGAGCAACAAGAACGTTATGGACCACCACCTTTTTATTTTCAGCGAATGTGGGTAGACCATGCAAGCTTTTTACCTCTTATAAAAAAAAGATGGGAATAACCAACCAGAAGCTTAGGTTTATTCAAACTTGGAGAAAAACTGAGGAGGTTAAAACAAATTTTGCGGAAGTGGAACAAAAGCGATTTTGGGCATATCAAATGTCGCATAGTGGAGTTAGAGTACAAAATTGTTAAGCTTGAAGATCAAGTTTTAAATTTTGATAATGCGCGGGATGAAAGGGAATTAATTGCAAGAAGACTTGATTTGAAGGATTGGATTTGGCGAGGAGATTTTCTTGGCACAAAAAACTAAAATGAAATGGTTAAAAGAGGGGGATGCTAATACTAAGTTCTTTCATGCGTCAATTGCCAAACGTCGAAATTTTTTTTGGAATTATAGCATGGCTGTAATGGACCAGCACTTGACAGCTCGTAATTAGTCCATAACGGAGTAGTTGATTATTTTCATGAGTTACTTACCACTGATAATGTTATACCTAGGATGGAATTGTTGGATTCATTGATTACACGGAGCTTATCATTGGAAGATAATATCACATTGTGCGAGGCCCCTTTTCGTGAGGAAGTGAAAACTGCAATGAGAAGCATTCCACAGGATAGTAGCCCTGGGCCTGATGGTTTCTCATCAACTTTTTACATGAGCTGTTGGGATATCGTTGGAGAAGATGTTCGGGAGGCAACGGTGGATTTCTTTAGTGGTTCTATGCTCCCTAATTTTTACACATCGACTTATATTGTTCTTATCCCGAAAGTCAAGGTTCCAGGCGACTTTGGAGACTTTAGACCCATTAGCTTATGTTCAGTGATCTACAAATGCTAGACTAAGCTAATTGTTAATAGATTGAAACATTTACTTCCTTCTCATCAACTTTTTACATGAGCTGTTGGGATATCGTTGGAGAAGATGTTCGGGAGGCAACGGTGGATTTCTTTAGTGGTTCTATGCTCCCTAATTTTTACACATCGACTTATATTGTTCTTATCCCGAAAGTCAAGGTTCCAGGCGACTTTGGAGACTTTAGACCCATTAGCTTATGTTCAGTGATCTACAAATGCTAGACTAAGCTAATTGTTAATAGATTGAAACATTTACTTCCTAAATTTATTTCGAAGGAACAAGGGGCTTTCATCGAGGGTCGGAGTATTTTTCACAATATTGCTCTGGTACAAGAACTACTTTGGAGTTTTAACAGAAAGATACGAGGCGGGAATGCAATGCTTAAAGTAGACATGATGAAGGCGTATGACAGGGTTGAATGGAATTTCTTGATGGCAATCCTAAATGCTTTTGGGTTCTCTACACAATTTTGTTAGTTAATATAAAATTGTATTAACTCACCTTCATCCTCGGTGATGATGCATGGCACCTATCGAGGCTTTTTCAAATCTTCACAGGAAATCTGTCAGGGAGATCCCCTTTCTCCATACTTGTTCATTATTGCCGAAGAGACTTTTACATGCATGTTACGACAGGTTGTTTGGATCAATGCATTGGAAATTATTCTCTTCTTGTTGGAGCACCTCCTATATCTCACTTGCTATATGCTGATGATCTAATTATTTTTTGTAATGGAAGCAAATCGTCTATTAAAGCAATGGTGGAGGTTCTGGGTACTTATGAAAATATGTCGGGGTAGAAAGTGAATCATAAAAAATCAGCTATATTTTTCTCGAAGCACATACCCTTATCAAGAAAGAATGTGCTACTCCAGTTGAGTATCTTGACACAAGGGTCTTTTCCAATTACCATTTGGGTGCTCCAATATCTCCAGGCCGTTTGTGTATCAGACATTTTGAGTCGCTGATTATGAAGGTGAGAAAGAAAATATCTGGCTAGAAATTTTTACTCTTGTCTGTTGGAGGAAGATTAACTCTTGTTAAGCATGTCCTTTCAAGCATGCCTATACATATCTTATCGGTCATGTGCATACCCAAAGGGGTTGTTCATTAGATTCATTCTTTGATCTCAAATTTTATTTAGGGAGAGGTAGACAGTAAAGTTAAACGTCATTGGGTGAATTTTGGAAATATTACTCAACCTTTTTCAGAAGGAGGTTTAGATATCCGTGACTTAGTAGAAGTACAAATGGCTCTAAAAACAAGATTTGCTTGGAAAATTTGTTTCTCAAATTCTCTACTACAGAGTTCTAAAAGCAAAGTATTTTCCTCACAACTCTTAAAATGAGATTCAAATATCAGCTTTGAACTCACCTTTTTGGAAGAGCATAGCAAATTTGATACCCATGGTAATAGAAAATTCGGTATGGCATATCAAATGGGGAGAAGTTAATTTCTGGCAAGATAATTGGTCTGGTAGGGGATCGTTATCAAACCTGGTGGAGTTAGTAGAGCCTGACTTGAGGCTAATGCTCTGGTAACCTCAAGGGGGTGGAATGAAGATGTCTTGGCAGATCTAATTGGGAGTGAGTTAGCTAAAATTGCAATAGAACACGTTCCAAGGTTACGTAAAGGACTAGATACAGCTGTTTGGAAACCATCTCCAGATGATTTGTTTAGTACTGGTAGTACTTGGGAGCTTATACAAGCTAAATGGGAGTGTGTAGATTGGGACAAATGGGTATAGCATCCGTTAATTCCAAAAAATCTCGTTCATTACTTGTAAAGCTATACACAATGCTCTCGGTGTGGATGAAAGAATACAAATGGTGGGGATCTCCTTAGCCTCAAAATGTGTATGTTGTGTTAAACCTCATATTGAGTCCCTTGACCATTTGTTGGACGTGAGCGATCTAGCAAAATTCCTTTGGATTCAATTATCAACGGTCATAGGCATCTCTCACATTACATCGAAGGGTTGGAGGCAAAGGATGAATTTTTGGTTCTCTAAGGCATTACAAACATCCCAAGTAGGTATGATTATTGACTTTTCCCCTATTTTGATTTTTTAGGTTATTTGGACAGCAAGGTGTTGAAAAAAGATGGAAGGTGTTGCTATTATTTGTGATCAGGTTTGGGCTATAGTGAAGTGGTGGATTAGTGAATTATGTGTCGATGTGGCTAAGGCGTCTATACTATCTTTGTCTAATTTTATTACCTTACAAACTTTGGGTATTCAGATTCGAAAACCGCTTAATAAAGTCACTAAGTTTGTTCGTTGGATGCCTCATCTCCCTACTTGGATTAAGTTAAATATTGATGGATGTTGTATAGGAAATCATGGTAATTGTGGTGGAGGTGGGGTGATCAGAGCTAATAAAGGGGAATTTATTTATGCTTTTCATACCTTCTATGGTCATGGTACTAACACATGGATGGAGCTAAAAGCAGTTTTGGATGCCATTCACATATGTGATGAACTAAACTTCCCAAAGATTATTATTGAAAGTGATTCTTAGGTTGTTGTGAATTGGTTCCTCAACAAAAGATGTACATGATGGAAATTTTGGAAACGATGGGAAGAGATAAATGATCTTATGATGGAAAGAGAAGTGATTTTCAGGCATGTCGTTCAGGAAGCAAACCAAGTTGCAGACACTTTATCTAAAAATTGGGGTAGGTGGTAACATTGTAGTCTTTCATGATATGGTTGATCTTCCTAGGGCAGTTGTCAACTTGATTACATCAAATAGGAATCATTTTCCATATGTACAAATTTATTAATAGTTTTGTCTTTGTGGTTGATAATTTGCGATGTGAACTTGTCTTCATAGTATTCATCCGTCATACGTGAGGGTTGATCTATAAAACTTGGAGGTATCTATTTAAAAAAAAAGATAAAAATAGAATTGAATAGCTAGTATTTTATGCATACTAATTAAATATTAGGGTGTGTGTTTGATTGCAAGCATGAAATTTGTATGAAAATTAATATAATTGCCTAAAACTTATTTTCATAGAAATGTTGACCTCAAAAAAATGTGCCAACAGATGTTGCGGCCCATTCGTGTCAAAATGAATGAATTTTGGTATGTTTGGACTGGAGATTTGGTCGGAGAGTCGATGACAGTTACAAACGTGGGAGATGCTCCAGACATGTGGTGTAACCGTTTGAACATCGATGATAAGAACAAAGATGAGAAGTGAACAAACATAATCACAAATAATTGCACTAGAGTGTATAAAATCCGAATTCAAGCAAATTAATATCAAGAGAGGGAAAATGTGATAATAAGCATATAGAGTTTGTATATATATTTTCCAATCCTCTACAATGTTACAAGAGTTGCTAGTTATAGCATTCAGGCCGAAGAGGTCACCGTTGGATCTGATCCATGTGGCTTCATCTAATTAACCGAAGTCTGACATCACTTTATCATGCATTAATTACATTGACAAGGGGTTAACTGCCCTATGCTCCTAGGCTGACATGTCTAACACTTATCGATGTAAGTATTACATCAATCATTCCTAAAGATACTCATTAGACTTGCTTAAAGACAGTAAGCACCTTGGCCTTAAGGAGAAAAGTTTTGGATATACAGAGGTTCGACTTCCAAGAGGAAGCGCTTTGATATATGAACTCCAGATGGAGATAAAACTTCGACTATAGAGCAGCTCTTAACTTTTTTCTCTTAACTTGGTTGACTACTGAATGTCTACACGCAGTGTCTCCATGTGGCTTTCGCTGGGAGCTTTGTATATGTGAAGTAACAATAGTCCCCTAAATTTATGTATAGTCAATTATGTGATATATGGACTTTTGTATTATATTGGAAAATTTTTGTCGAGGTGTTTTCTAATCCCACAACAATATATATAGTCCCCAAGTCTAATTTGCAAATATTTATATGAAAATTAGAGTTTGAAAGTCGAATATGGTGAATAATCGAAATACTTACCAAAGTCATTTTCTGAGGCACCTTTACAGGGTTGATGTTCACTTGGCCGAGGTTATTATTATATAAATTTGATCATATCGAAGTTATAAATGTGGAAGAAGAGGTGGTCCTCAATTTGGACGAAATAGTAGGTAATAAAGATGAAGAGGTCTTACCCGTTCAGCTTTGGTGAGTATGAGGCATTCTTAATAATTGTATTGAAATGATTAGCTGTCTACTATACTTTCCAAAAAAAGCGGCTGCAATAGTTCGAATTTCCATACACACAACCGTCGCTCATTTAATGTGTAATGATGACTGTCATGGGCGCGTCTTTTGTGGTTCAAACTCGTGGTAGCACATAAATCAAACTAGTGATGGCAACTTTGTCTCGTTTAATTTTTTTATTTTTAATCTTTTTTACATTTTCAAAGTTTCGAATTATGTTATTATTAGAGAATAAATTACAAATTCAAAATGATTTTTAACGGGTGAATTGTCTAGAAATAAAATTATTTTTATTTTTTTCTTTACGGGGCGGGTTCAAGGCAGCCATCCTCATCCTACCCATGATGGGGGCCTCGCCTTGTCCCACCTAGCCCCGTCCCAACTCGTTCGGGACGGGGCGGGGCATGGTGAGTTTTTTTGCCATCCCTAAATCAAACGCTATGATCTAGGCTTTTGAAGGTGAAATGACAAGTGTGGTGAGCGGCTCAGATTTAATTTCTAATGAATTGCCAGATGATCTAGATCACCATCCAATGGTTGGGATTGAGTGCCTATACCTATAAAAGGCAACAGTTTAGGGCACAAATTACTTTTGCCTTTGCTATCAATTAAAATTAGAATTCTCTAAGAATTTTCTTCCCACTCTTCTCGTTTTCCTCCAATTTTAAGTCAAGTTTTCCTTTTACAATTTTTGATCAATTTTAGCTAGTGTTTTCTATCTAATTTTGCAAATACTTGAAATTTTTGTTATTGTTGAAGTAATGGCCTCATTGTCTTTTGAAGGGAACATAAATCTTAGCAAAATTGCCTCTGAATTGGGAGTTGAAACTATGAATACTATCGACCTCATTTAGGCCGTTTTGGTTGGGCATAATTTTCCAATAAAGGGGGGTGGGTCAGACAATGAGATTTGGTGGGCTAATCTATAGTTTCTGCTTCCCACCTAATGATTTATAGGGAAAAATACTATATCCCATATGACACAGAACTCCTAGCTCCTGCCCCAGACAAGCATATCTGTTTTTTGAGGCCTGGGTGCGTCGCCATCAGCAAGTTCCTTCTTAAAGTAGGGCTTCAACTGCCTTTACATCCATTCTTTAGAGCTGTCCTTAGGTTGTATTGATTGGCTCCCACCCAGTTCGTTCCTAATGTGTGGGGCCAACTAGTGGGATCCTACTTTTTGTGGAAAGAGACCTTCCTAGTGGAAGACATGCCTCTCCACATTTTTCAACCTAGGTCTCTAGGGAAAGGAGGCTCCAAGAGTTGGTATTCTTTATGTCCATGGAGTCACACTCTCTCTTCATCATAGGATATCATTCATCGATTAAAGGATGAAAGGAGACGTGGTTCTACGTAAGGGAAAAATGACAAGTATGGGAGGATGACACCATTCCCCATGTGACAATTTTCACCTCCTACTCAAAAGCTAGTGAGTGTTGTACCTTTTAAGTGTTTTGTTGAGAAGTTGAATTAATGTGGATCCTGACATTGTGTGTGTTTGCCTCTTGCAGGATTTGTAAACTGTTTTGAGTTTGGCAAAGCTGAGCTCGAGCTTATTGAAGACATCCATAGACGTCCTTTTTTTTCGAGGGAGTTTGATAGATTAATTATTTGTTGTCGATTTTTTGAAGAATTCAACTTAATGGCTCGCAGATGTACTTTTGCCTTTTTAGGATGGTGACTGTTTTGACATTGTTCATTTTTGTTGACCTGGATGCCTTATACTTTTTGCAAAAAACTTTGAGAAGAGGAGAAATCCCACTCTTGACATGGACACCATTCTTGCAGCTATCTCTACAACTAGGAAAAAGGGGTTGAAGCCTTCATTTGTTGCTGGCAAGCAAGTGAGGGACCAGGTGAAGAGGCTCAGCAAGGAGGCTAGTGGCCAAGAGGGTGATGGAAGATCTCTCATTAAAGATAACGGGAAGAATAAGATAGACGAGGTCCTCAAAAAGAACTATCGAAGAGGATGGGTCTATGACTAGCCCATTGCCTCTCTTCGAAGTCCCTGCTGGAGAAATATTGATGGCAACATCTATTGCTACTCCAGGGGTCGAAAGAGGCCAACTGTCATGGAGCCCCTAAGGCAATAATCTTTGAAGAGGGCGAGGATATCAAGTGGTTCCTCAGCATCTGATGTAGGTGCTCGTCCTAAACATATTGTTTCGTAACGGAGCGACGAGATGACCCCAGAGGTTTTTTCGATGTTGCTGCTAAAAGTTCAAACTGCAACATCTATTTCTCACAAGTTCTGGATGGACTATTGACAGTCTTTCATGGAGACTAGTGATTGGGTGGACATTTTCACCGCAATGGTAAGCCAATCTGTGAGGGCATTTGTGGTCGCTATAGAGGCAGAGGCCCTCTTTAAAAACCTTCAGAATAAAAAGAAAGAATTTGCAAATAAGACCTCATTAGCCGAGGAGGCAACTAAGAAAGTGGAAGCAGAGGTGGAGGTTGTGAAGAAATAGCATGCTGAAGAGTCCGTAAAGCTCTCCTCCACCTTAGCAGAAATTGAAAACTTGAAAAAGAAAGTCCACTTGTGTCAGAGTGAAGTACCTTCCATGACGAGGATGATGGAGACTTCTGATACTTACCAAAGGCTCGCTGCTGAGGCCTTAGATGTATCTAATAAATAAAATGTTGCTCTAAAAGAGCAGATGGGAGAGTTAAAATCCTGAGTATCGTGCTTAAAGGTAAGAGTGGAGATGGTGAGGAATGAGGATGAATCTACTGGTAGCGACGTTGAAAAGCATTACATGGACAATTTCCATCTGACGAAAGCGTACCAAAGTTTTGTGAAGTATTGGCAGATGTAGGCCTATACCCAGATGGTGGAGCGGATTAAAACAAACTTCCAGAGGTTCAATACTTCTAAACTGAGGTCTGAATCCCTGGATGAAGGAGAAGAGCCTCAAACTCCCACAGAGGGTAGCCTACATAATAAAAATCGAAGACGAAGCCAAAGAAGAAAATACTAGAGTTGAAGAAGTCGTTGCTCCTAATGCCATAGTATCTTTTGTATCTTTCCCTCCCCCATCTTTTTAGATGGAGCAACTTTTAATTATTTTATTTTGCTTTGTAATTTGGCCTTGAAGCCCACTTTTGTATATTTATTGACGGATATATCCATTTCATATCAAAACAGATTCCTTCTTTTTACATCGAGTCCAATCATCAATGTAAGTTCATTTTTCATTATATTTCTGAGCTTATTTATTGAATTTTCATAGATAGATATTTTGTTTCATACTTACCTTTTTTTTTTACTTGCAATATGTACAAGTATCAATAGTTTATCCGCTTTTATTTGTTTTCCTTAGTATAAGGTTAAGTGTTCGCCCATGCTA